GAGTATTACATTTGAAAGACAATCTGGTGCGGAACATGAATAACTAAACACAATTTAAATAGTTGTTTGTACGATTCATTTTTCATGGCATCACATGTAACAGATGGCAAAATTTTTCTGCCAACGCATCTGGCTGCACTGACCGTGGAATCATAAAGCCTGCTCAGAAGGCACTGAAAATCGGCGGCAAGATGAAATCAAGAAGTTAATTTTAATAGCATGGGTAAGAGTTCATGAAAAACAGTTACATACTAGAAATGTTTGTATTCTGCAATCGATCGACGAAGGCTTATAATCATGATGACAGCAATCAAAACTCTAAATCTAAGTTCGATCCGGTACATTGGCTGCTTTTCATTGTACCGTTGATGATCATGTCTAACTTCATAGTAGAACTTTGGGAGCCTGATGCAGCCGAGAGTTTCAACGTGGTCATTTCAAATCAGTTTCCAGGCGATAAACATGCATACCTCGTTCGTTTCCACAGGGGCATGTAGTTACTTCCAGTGTTAAATGATGGCACTGCCGCCACCTCTTGGATGTCTCGATGCTTCTCGAACAAGAGGGTGAATCTCGTTTTCTGTCGCTGTTTTGGCCGCGATCCATGTTCAACTACTTTTCGTCTTCTTCTTGAACCAGGTCTTGTCAGAGGACAGATTTTCCGTTTCTGCCAAGGGCACCAGCCAATCTTCTCGGTCATTTCGGTCTCCAATGCCGGACCTACCGAAAAACGTTTCACCGGCCCTTCGTCGTCCGACTTAGATACTGAGGTCTTCCGTGAGGAGGACACACGTGAAATATGGTACCAGTGCATGTTGGAAGAATTTATAGAATTTTTCCACTTCTTCCTCATCAGCTGCACTCTTAGAAACGTAGGTTTGATGACCTCAGACATCATTCGACTTTTGCCTATGAGCACCAGTGCTTTTGAATTCTGAACTTCTGCGGTGGAAGCTATTCTATCCTGGTATCGACTTCACAGCACTCGCTCAGACTGATGCTAGTGTTTTTGTAATACCCAACTCGGCTGACAGAACTACTGAGCCTATTATCTGTTCAGCGAAAGAGTGGCAGTCGTCCAACTGAAACTGCAGTAGGCTAAAGCTATGATTTTATTTTAAGTCTTGAGTCTAATTCAGATGGAGAATGTGAGTGTTCCCTGGAGCAAGTAAAAGGTGCCGACAATGTAATCAATTAGTGTAATGGAAGATTTCGGTATGCAGATTAGAGAACACATGAAAACGGTATATCTTTCAATAATAACAACATAAAATTGTTGCGAAAACAATAGACTATCTGTTCTGACGCCCTTTTCGACCATAGAAGCGTCCATCAGTTCAATGATATATGGGAGCTCGTGTACAAAAGTCAATGATCGATTTCATAATCATATCGTTGGACGTACAACGCTCTATAGTCACTGTTGGCATGAAGGGATATTCAGAGAGGCACAGAGCAGTCAACCCATTATTACCTTGTTGTTGCCACCATCCGCGGCAAAGAATGCGGTGCCATCTGAATTCCTGGCGACAGAAGCAAGCAGAGAATCCAATAAGATTTAGTTGATCATCAGAAGCTCATTATTTATGTATTAATATCTCCCAAAAACAACAAATGAAATCAAAATCACAAATTAGTTGCGAAATTCCCAATTATTTCATAAAATTTAAATTTATTTGGAGTCATAATTGTTTATATTCTTTCGTCCGCATCCTGATAATTCTTCAACTTTATCGGTGGTTGATGACCGGCAGGTTGTTCGTAGTAGATTTTGCGGCTCTTATGAACTATACAGAGCCCATCAGTTAGCTTCCATACCGACATTCCCAAGTCAGAGCTCACGAAGAGCTTCTCACGGATATGTAACACTGTGGTTTCAATATTACAATTGATCAGTACTAATAATACTGATAATGCTACATAAACAAAGTTGCCTTGTACATCTTCTATGAAAGGCTCGTTTTAAAGTTTATACAAATTTATACTTTGTGAAATAATTGGGAAATTTCACAACTAATTTGACAGACGCTTTGTGTTGTTGTTCTCCGTGTTCTTTTGTGAGATATTAATATATAAATAATGGACTTCTGATGATTAACGAAATCTTAGAACCTTCGGAATTCATTAGTTTGACAGAAGTCTCACATTGTGCTCCCGGAGACCTTCTCGAAAATATATAACTTGCTAGGTTCAATGTTACAGTTGAGGGAGATGACCACTGGCCATTCATATAGAATCAAACGCTCGCCATAGGACTAAACGTTGACAGCAACTATGGATCAGCGCGGAAACGTCTCGCGCCCAATCGTCCTAGGCCGGCTGCTTCTGTTCCTCACCTGTTAAAATAGTCATGCGTAGTCAGCAATGAGTGCCTCAGCGTAGAAGATGTGGAGACAAGAAGGTTGCTGTCTAGAAACGAGTGTTTTGTCGGCATTCTTCAAAATTGATCTCCAGCGCTGTTTTTAAAGCTTCGTAGCTGAATGCGACGCTGCTTCGATGCATGGGAACGTGCCGAAACCGAAAAGCATAGGGCTTCATTTTCCTCTTGAGAGATACGGTTTGCGGATAAACAAAATAATGCAATAGGTGAGGAAACTCACGTATCTCGGTGTCTCGTCTTCCGGTTACAAAACACCGGAGGACGAATGAAGAATTGCAATGGCACCCGGTCTTCTGCTTGAACTAGTCCGAACCGCTGTGACTAAAACAGCTGCATTTATGGATCTATCTAACTCATCTAGTTGCATCTATCTAACTGTGTGAGTTCAAGCCTATATTAGTACCGTTGCTTAATTATGTTCATGAATCGTGAGTCACATCTTGAAAGCTTCGATCTCGGGTACAGGCAGCTGAAATGATGTCTCTGCGATGAATCGATAGGTTCATACGTATAGATATGACTCGGATTTGAGATATCTGAGAGTCTATTTGTGTACAGCCGCTGCATCTTTAGACTGAGAAGTGATCGCGATGGTTTGAGTAAATTTCGCGGATGCTAAAATGATGGGCAAAACAGCTAATGCTTTCTCAACTCACCTGCCTGATGGCCTGCGTACGATACATACATGTTTACATACCCCTATGCATGCATACATAGACACATAGAGGACCAATCGATGCATACGTGCATACATACCCCTTTGCATGCATACATAGATACATAGAAAGA